GTAACTTTCAAACATATTTTGTCACAGTATTTTCAAGAAGTTATGTGCTTCTTCATGTCTATTGTCTATGCTGACAACGAGTGCCAGGTCATATTGACCGAAGAACACCCAGCTTATCTTTATAAATAAATGGCTCTAAATTGGTAAATGATCATTTTAACTTCCAAGTTATTACCATCATTTCTGATGTGTTTGTAATGGTTGCATGAAATTAGGTACTTACAAGGGAGTACTTTTTAAATAGATCTTTCAAACCCCATTCCCATAAACACTAGCAGTCTACACAGATGGCCTAACTCTGCAGGGACTCAGCTTAACTGAATGACACACCTTTGTTCTTAGCAAACTCATACAATCACCTGCTTTTATGTTTTCTACTTAATGCCTAGGGATGCATGGCATTCAGTTAAGCTAATTACGGTCAGGAAGAGTCCCCACACAGTTGGGCCAATCCAAATAGACAATGGTGTTTTTGGGAATGGGACCCTTTATATATAAAATTGAAGTACTTTGTTATTATTTTTTTTTTGTTTATTGATAATAGACTTAAATCATGCGGTGAAGAAAACTATGTATGTATAATGTGCCAAATTTTAATTTAAACTGCTGAGTTAATTTTGACAAAGAATGCTTCATATTTGGTGCAAGCTGTACTGCTAATGCCTACAAGATCTCCGAAGTGCCTCTTGACATAATATCATTGAGTTTGAAAGCTGCTGTATGATATGCCTATGCAAATGTTATAAAATAACCATGCAGATTATAAAAGATTCAAGAATAAAATTTTAAACTGTGTAATGAGACAGTCAAAATCATTTTACTTGACAAAAAAAAATTGTTTGTATCAGGCATGCCAGAAAAAATGGCAAAAAAAGGTACTTTCAGTTTTCATCAATTTCTTGAAAGTGTCGATTTCTTGAAGGGCCAGTCTATCTATTTTATTCAAAATTTTTGAAGGATGTGATGTGTTGGCAATGTAGTTTAAGTTATATTTTTGTCAGGAACTCTTTAAAACAAATTTGGTTTTGCTTCAATTAAATATAACTTAAACTCTAGTCTAGAAAACTGTCTGTTTGGTTGACATTTTTATAAAGAACTCTATGTTGCCCTCAAAAATCAGTCCAATTAATTTTGATCTTTTCTGATGGCCTGATCAGAAAATTTTTCAGTGGTTATGTTTTTCATTCCAATTTATTTACAGTACTGTATTTATTTTATGGTTGTGTAGTTTTCAGCATGAATTTTGTTGTATTATTTTTTTTTACTGTTGCAACTAATGTGTCACCTATCTACTCTGTAGATTGTGTTTACAATTAAATTTTTTCATTGTGGTAACTAGGAAAAAAATACTATTTTATCTCTAGAGATATGTCTGTACATGTGATAGCTTTAGATGCCTAACCCCTTAGAATTGAGAGTTGTTCTTATAATAGTTGGGTACTTAATGAATATTACTTTTTTTTACTGGGGTAAGTTATTTATTATCAATATTACTTTGATAAAAGGGTCTATAATCAATTGAAATTTTTCTTCCAGACATTTATGTAAATTCTTAGGTTCTTTTCTATATGTTTTGTTTCAAGGTAAGATTAGAATTTTACATTATAGCTGTTGGTGATGTACAATATTCATTTTTTATTTGGAAGGTACTTCTTCAAATGACTATAGAAAAAAAAAAGCATCTTTGATTTAATTCATGGACCTACATGCATGTGCACCATTAAATGCACTTTGTATGATTGAGTGAATGTTGCACTACAATAGTATTTTTATGTCTAAACGCTTTTGATAACAAACAGTTAAAATATACCATTTTATAGTGGTATGAAGAAGCAAAAGAACATTTATTATCAGATTTGTGGCAACTACTGAGGTAGTATATGTATCTGCAAGGCACACAAGATGTCTTAGGTGTAGAGGAGGTAGTGACACAGCATGCAAGCTAGCTTTTTTTAAGTTAGGGCTGAAAGCCAGATGATAAAATGAAGATGGGGAAAAATCAGTAGTGATTGCATTGCCTAACCAGCTACCAGACGAAACAGTCAACCCTGTTGGAACAAGTAGGCTTTACCACATTTTTTCCTCCATAATTGTGACCCCAGAAAAAGTAGTTAATTATTCCTGTTGGATGCTGTTTTTTGTAATACATTATAACAATTGATTTCAGTCACTTAGCTTGCCAGGCTGTGATATTCTGTATCTTCTCATATGGCTGACATTTAAATGGGATTTATTGGAATGTGTAAGAAACCGGAGCAATTATTCTTGCAATATAGCCTCATTAGGATTTATTAATTAAGTTTTATGATTGGGTGAATTTGATGTGGAGGAGCTTGGATATGTAATTAATTTCATCATGAAATGAACAAGCTGCATTCCTTTTACGCTGAACCGGCTGATTGATCAGCGCCAGAGTTGTGATGAAAATGACAGATCAATAAATGATCGAGGTTGGAGGAAATCTACGGTCAACAATAGTTGGAGCTTTGAGCAGTACAATGGATCTAGCAACTGTATAGAGTAAAGATAATGGGCTGTATCAATACTGCAGGTTAATATCATAACATCACAATGTCATCCAGTAAATGCAGTTTCTGTTGTTATTTTGGATTCAATGAAACTTGTGATGTTGCAGTCAGGCTCAGCCATTAGAAACGCAGACAGGATTCAGATTATCATATTGCAAGGAAAAACATGGCCATCATCAACATTTTAAGGTAAGGCTGGCATATCAGTTTAAAGGTGTTTGTGTATGAGAACTGGTTGTATAGGAATAATTTGATATGATGCTAGTGTGAAATATGGCTGTGATCATTTATTGTAATGGTCCAGGCACCAGTAATGGTTAAATGGACAGCATTTCTTTGCAAGAGGTTGACTTTGAAACCATTAATACACAAGGGATGTGAAAAAATGGAGGCACTTTCTGATAGTTATAATATATTCTTTGAACTTTGTCTCAGCCATAGCACAATATTATGTGGATTAATTTGTTGTAGCTGTCTAAGAAGTAGTAAAATTTGTGAGATGTTTTAACTAGGAATGTATTAGAGTATGTTCTACAATGCAAATATTCCTAAAGTATGTTCACGTAATAGTGATAAGCTGTTTCCATATTTATAAGACAATGCCCAATTTGTTTCAAAGTAGATATAAGATTTTTCAAGAGAGAAAAAACATCTACCTATACTTGTAGTAGGTTGCACTGTAGACCTATACTACATGCTGTAGACTATTATAGCAATTCGACTCTAGACATTACATTGTTCTTATGAGGACACATGAATTGAAATGTGTCGGGTAAACTGAGGCATTTTGACGTATTGTTATTGTGATTGGCATTGGTACATGCTTGTAATGTATTAATTTTTTTATCATTAAGAGATTTTGCCTTTGAGCAGTTCTAAGACATGAATTCCATATGCATGCATGCAATTGAATATAATTTTCTTTAGATAGGTTTATATTATAACGATGTAATTTCAACTAAATCAGTCTTACTGCTCATTACTGATCTTTGTTTACAGGACTACCCAGTTGTTTTTTTTTACATGGGTAATGAAAGTAAAGTACAAAGGAGCACATAATTATTGTACATAATAAACGTTAAAAACAAATTTTGTTGAAAAAAATAATAAACCCATATACTGAACTTAAATGTTGGGCTGTGGATGCATTATGTTTATAAATATGCTTATGATTTTAATAGTACAGCATTTATGTAACAATTTGAGGATCAATATTACATTATGTTAATGTCTTTGCATTCTGGACAATTTGTGCATTTTGAAGAAATTGATTTTGATTTTTTTTATCATACATAAATGATCCTGAATTTAAAAAAGTGTTCATGGGGTTATATATCCTAATTTGTTGTTATCTTGCACACATGTAAGTAAATGAGGCAAGCAATCCAGATCAAAATTAGCCAGGTGTCTTCACAGCATTATCCAATGAGATATTTTTATGAATAAATAAATATTTAAAATATATTTAGCTGGACATTTGTTTAGTCTAATGCTGAGGTGCTGCTGGCTTAACTGCCGGCAGGGTCTTTACAATATTGAGACTATTACATATTTATTCCATTGATTAGATAATGTGGACTATGTCATTGATCACTTTGAATCAACAGATATAAGGGTTACCTAGCTTAGAAAATTTTCTGTGGTGGGCATTTGAAATTGTCAAAATACCCTTGCTTGATTGAAATTATTTTAATGTCCTCTTTTACAATGTATCAATAGGTCTTAGAAAAGAAGTCAGATATATTCAGAAAGAAAAATATCTTATGCATATTTGATAAAAGTACAATGTTATATATTGAGTTAGTTTTGGACCAGTCATCTTTTTTTCATGAAAATCAATTATCATTAGCAGTATGAAAGTAATGATACACTTAGAAAAATATGCTCCATCCAATACTTCTACACAGCATACTTAATAGAATCAACTGCCTGTGAACATTGGCATAATAGCATACATTAAACTTTAGCAACAACAGTATATCAGGATTTCCTGTGACTTTGAAAAGTATACACTAATACAAGCATATTTATTTAAAACAATTCTCTTTACAATTTAAGCTATCATTTTGGTGAATTTAATGCCTCCTATAGTTGGGCATAGATTAAATTTAAATTGAAGAATATGTTCACAACTATCAACTCTTTATGGTTTAACTTATGAATTGATCATATTCTTGGATTTATAAATTAATTGGAATAAAAGGCATATTTATGTTAAGCACAGCAGACAGTCTTACAGATCATTCATTATTATCATAATGCTAGGAGATGTACACTGTCATGCTACTGATGAGGTGTGTTTATAGAGATATCAGTAATATTATGCACAATATTGATGTAGAAAATTGTTAGAATTGTATGTGAAGTTGTGCCAGGCATGGGGAAGGCTCATTATCAAAAAGGAACTGTGCTGGTAATACAATACTGATAAAAGCATGCTGGAACTTATGATATTTTTGTTCTCTTTTACAGGAACTGGTAGGAAAATTATAAAGTTGATGCTAGCCCAGAAACATTTCTCTTACCAAGCTAGTATAACCATTGTCACGTCTACACCATGTGGTCAAGATGCAGAAAGCTATACGGGTAAATGAAAATCAGCTACTATATCTGGCAAACAAAGCAAGGATTGAGAACAGTATCAGCGGATATCTAAACAAAAAGAGTGGAGAATCTGCAAAATGGCAGCTACGGTGGTTTTCTTTATATCAGAATTTGCTATTTTACTATGAAAATGACAGCACCACCAGGCCCTCCGGGATAGCTTTCCTAGAGGGATGTTACTGTGAACGGATTCTGACACCAAACTCTGTCAAAGGAGAAAAACAGGTAGGGAATACAGCCTGAAATATCTTTATTCTATATAAACCATTAATAGTCATCACAGAAAAAGGGAAATGTCCATAGCTGGTAATAATATTTCCTGCAGCATTTTACTAATGCATGCCATATGCATTATATATGAACTGTGTCATTAGAGGAAAACTGGTTCATTTTTGATCTTGACTAATGCTATATTTCTTTATAGGCATCAGTTATTCTTGGAGTGGCAAATAAATCTTTAACTTTTTATATCATCCAATTTACCTGATGCTTTATTTTGAAAGTTTTTGGTAACTATTTTGAAGAAAGCATTCCTCCATTTGAATTTAAATGTATTAACATTATTTCCTCACGATCAGTTTTATTTCCCCATCTCCGTTACCATTTGTGTTTCTATTAATCATTCTGGAAATAAAATCTAATAATTTGTCTTCTGTGTAATTATGATCGATGAAAAGACACTGTAAGGAAGATTGGTCCTCCTATTTTATTTCATGTACACAGGATGTGATGTACTTTGGGTCAGGATGATGGCCTGAATTAACATTAACAAAATGTATACAGGAAGTGAAGTACATATTGTTGTTTATTTATTTATTGGAACTATATAGTTTAAGTACCTGAATACCTATTTGCAAAAGCTGGTGAAATTGCAAGTCATTTGAGTTGATATGCACCTAAACAGGGTTTGCCATTTGCTTTTGTCTATAATTGTTTTAAAAAATTGATCTAATGTGACTTACATATCACAGATATTGGCCCTTCTGTAAGGGAGTAATAACTTTGATATCATTTACACTGAAAGAGGGTGCAGTTTAAAAGTTGTCACCCTTTCCCCTATCAGTGCATGTCAGCTTAGGGAATGTGTTTTGAACAATAAAAATTTCTCATCAAGTTTGGTATACTTCTTTAAAATGAGTGTTGACAGGACCTTACCCTGTCATGCTTATAAGTGGCATGTATCTGCACACTCTCTCTCTCTCTCTCTTTCTCTCTCTCTCTCTCTCTCACACACACACACAAATTATATATAAAATCATCTGGTAGATACATTTATAAACTTACAATTTCATAGAGTTGATTCTATATGATACCTTATAATAAATGTCGCGAATACCAGTTCACCACACTGAGAGTGATCTACCTGTTAAGTTACAAGTCAAGGCAATCAATTTCTAATTATTCCTAGGCTGGTACAGTAATAATTCTCTGCCTCTATCATGCAATCTTGGACAATAATAGATCTGCCTGCTTTGTTGCAGTAGTAGGGACTAGGTTGGGAACATTAACATAAAATGACCCACATTACCTGTTTTGCATGGCAACAGACCTTGCTCCATAGCAACGAGACTATAGTCACAGCTTGCTTACATGTTGATGCAAAAAGTGCTAGGGTTATATCTGTGTACAAGAAGGCACAGGGAAAGGGGTTACCACAAAAAATGATAATAATAATTATCAGAAATGATTCAATTTGAAACAATTGATTATTAATACCTGGTTTATTTCATTATGTTGTCATGACCTGAATTTACATGGGTTTAAGTAACAGTAGAAGCGAGCATGGATTCCCAGTGATGGATATAAACCACTTATACTAGTTTCTTATACAGTCTATGCAAAGTTGACATGCCAAGTAATTAATCCAAAAATTAATCCCTCCTTCAGCCAAAAAATAGCTTTAAACTGCTTCTTCTTCAAATTGATGGTAGGAAATTGACCTATTAATCTGTTCCTCCAGTTCGTTTAAGTCCTCAATATCATGCAGTAATGCAAGCACATTGCATAATCATCGCACCAATGTATGGTTGTAGCTGCATGGGTAATTCCATACTAATTAGAATGAAAAGGAGCAAGTGTTACAAATAGCTCAGAAAGAAAGCAAAATATCTGTTCAGATATCATTTTTCGAGAAATGTGAGATGATGTACTTTGGTATTTCTCTTAGTTATACCATTTGAAACTAAATGGTGGAATTTGGTTGGGTTTTGTGGCAAAAATTTGACTTCATTGGGTTAATTGCACAATTTACTTATCACACAGTTAAGTCTTCATAATTTTTTTTGGCATACAATCCATTTGTATTCCAAGATAATTTTACTTTTTGACTAAAATGTCACAGTATATTTGAAAATAATATTTTCAACTTTAAGCAATCTAGATGGGCTTCCTGTCAAAAAAAGAAAAAAAAAGCGATGATGCAGGTGTCTTTTATAAATGCATTGGAATTGTAAGCACAATAAGCCATATTATAATGCAAAGTTTAGTCCATCCCCAAATTGTATCTGCTAGTTGTGTAGGTGAAAAATCATCCTCTTACTTATATACTATATACTATTATTTGCTGAGATTTCAAAAGTTTGAAAATCTGTTTGAATCTTTTGCTTGCAACAGTTAAGAACTCTGAAATGAAAAATGCTGTCTGACAAGTCGGCTTTATGAGGTCTTTCATTTAAAGATTTATTTTATTTCTTCTTCTTGATGTCATTAAAGCTGCCTTTATCCATTTTTGCGCTGTATTCAACATGTGCAGACCTTATCTTACTTCTTCACCTGAAATATGTTTTAAAAGAACATAGCCTCAGCCATGCCAGTGGAAGTTCATTTGGCCTGATCTGATACAGATCCTACTTGAGACGCCTATTATGAAAGTGGATTAAGGATCTACCATAGAAAAATTATAGTGATCTCCCCATCACTGATGGCAGAGTGATACCATTGCCTCAAAGCAGAATCTTAAAGTGAACAATACAGCCTGAGGAAAGTTGGTGAACAAATAAACTTGGACTGGAAAAATTGATATTACCAGAAGACCAGATTGTATTGAGAACCCTATTGTAGCTGATATTTTTAAATCTTGTGTTAAACAATCATGTCCTCTGGTAACAAAAATCTGTCTACAGTGTAGTTTTCATCTTCTAAGAGTCTTCTAATAGTAAAAATAGTTGTATAACATTGAAATGTCTCTTTGTGTTTAAGCTCAAACAATGACATAGATGGACCATTGACTCGAATTGACTTTAGTTGCAGTATTGTGTGAATGTAAATTTGGGAGCTGGTTGTACTTTATGTTAAGCTTTTTAGAGTGTTCAAGTTGTAATACAACAGCACAGCAACCTGAAACCAAATAGTTCTTAACAAAAATGCTGATTTAAATGAATGATAATTTTGTAAAATATGTATTTTTTATGCTGTAAAAGAAAATTTGTTCATATTTCTTAGTGATATTAACTATGGACACGTGGTATTGGATGTGTGGGGAGATGAAATATGTTTTGTATTGGATATTGCATTTCATATATTTCCTTGGTTAATAACAGTGATATATGGTACTGTAATTAATATATTACAGTCTGTAGAAAGCAGTACCTTTTGTGAAGATTGACACCATTTCCCAATCAATTTGTTTTCATATTTTTATGATAAACTGAAGAAAAAATTGTTTTTTTATAAGAGAAGGTAATATTTGTAAGCCTCTTTTCTCACTTCCCCAACCTCTTTTACCAAACTAGATAAGCTAGAAGGAAAGTAAAAGAAAAATAAATCAGTTGGTGATTTTCAAAACCATACAATCAAAAGTGCTGGCCTTTTCTGTGAAAAACAAATAACAGATATGTGTTAAACTACTTGTATGTTTTATTAATATCTGAGCCTGAGGTAGATGTCACATGTTCTGTTGGCGAGTTAGTTCTACTTTGGCTAGTATATATCAGGGTTGCATTTGTTCACACGTACATTAGATGGAGGTGTGTAAATTGATTCACAGTTGTGGGAGGTATATGTGGGTGGACACAGGATCTTTATTATTGCACATTATTTATTGGTATCTGCTCCCATGTTGCTTTAAGTTTTACCTGTTAATACTTTATCAGATTGGGTGGGGGTGTAGCTCTTGATGAAGAATTTTTGCTGGCTGCTCAGATGATAAACTATTTATGCCATCCACTTAAGTTTTTTTATATTTGTTGAGAAGGGCCAGGATTTTGTGCATATAGTGCTCGTGATAAGGACCTATGATAATATTGTTACAAAGCCAAAAATAAGCTTTAAACAGCATTATTCAGATATCTGAATGAGAGAGAGAGAGAGAGAGAGAGAGAGCTAATGTCCTCAATTTAACATAACAATGACAAAATGGTTCTTCAAAAAATAAAAAAGCAACTGATGAAAAATAAAATAACTAATTAAATACACCAATATTAAGTTACATGATTATAAAAGGTTACCTCTAGTAAACTATAATGAAATTCATTAAAAATGTCATTTATTACAATACAATGTGGAAATTGATTGCAAGCTTTGAATTTGTAAAAATTGCTTGGTATATTCTGCTGAATTTCCATCCATAAAAGTGTGCACTTGCAAAGGAACAATGAATACAGAGTGAACAGTTTTTGTGTCAAAATGGATTTTATGATCAAATGCCACTATATGCCTTGAATACGACAATTTTACATCACTGTACATAAAAACTTAGTTGTAATGAGATAACACATGTAGAGTCAAAAACTAGAGATGGCAGTGAACTCCATTCAAGATTTTGTATGAATGTTAAAATTGAAGTATCAGTGAGGTACCTAGAGAAAAAAAGCTTTTGCAAAATTGCTGTGACAGAGCAGATATCACCTGTTAATTGTTCATTAAAAGTTACAAACTTATTTTAGATTAACCATAGCTCATATATGAGATAAAGGTCATGATTCAGATTATATGCATATATATGGAATACACAGTGAAAATTTATCCAAAGCAACAGCAATTTATACTGAAGCTCATATTTTTATATTTTGTAAAAAAAAAAAATTAAGAAAGTAAACAAATATTATTTGCTATTCTCCACAAATATTCAATAACTTCAACATAACTATTTGGAATGAAATTCTATATGTAATACTAAAAGATAAATATAAGATTCACTCTAACATTTGGAATGACGAAAATGGTTGCCACTTTTTTTGTGTAATAAATAATTCAGTCTGAGCATAATGGTGTCTATATACTAAAAT